GCGCCCGCCCCCCCGCCCCTGCCGGCAGTTTGGGAGCCGGCTAGCGTGGGGATGGGCTGCAGTCACACCTCTGCCGGGCCGCACAGACCGTTCATTCAGAACCCCAGTCAGCCTCCACGGCAACGTGAAAACCCCCCTCTGCCAGCTGCGACAGCCATGGGCCCTGCCGGGCCTAACAAGGGCTCTTCTCCCCCTGTCAGGTGGGGCAGGAGCGCTCCTCATTTTCCTGTGTGGGGCCTGGCCCGCAGGCCTGGTTTCTCCACTCCCCATCCTTCTCTCATTCTTCCTTCTGTGCAAGGGAGGTTTAGGCTGGACATTAGGAAAAACTTCCTACCTGTCAGGGTGGTGAAACACTGGAATGAATTGCCCAGGGAGGTTGTGGAATCTCCATCACTGAAGATATTGAAGAGCAGGTTGGACAGACATCAATCAGGGATGGTCCAGATGGTGCTTAGTCCTGTTGTGAGGGCAGAGGACAGGACTCGATGACTCTCGAGGTCTCTCCCAGGTCTAGTGCGCTAGGATTCTAGGATCCTGTGTCTGTTTCTGTCTTTCCCCTCTAGATCTCCAACTCCCTGCACCCAGTGACCTTGGTTTTCTTTCCTTTCCTCCATGATATCTGTCTCCTTGCCTTGCTCCCCATCCCTTTTCTCTGCCTCCAGCTCTTCTCTGCAGCACAATTTCTGTCTCCTTCTGCCGCTTGGGGCCGTAGGTGCTAGAAGAAGGGTGCAGGATGGGGGACTGCAGCACCCCCATTATGTATGGGGTTTGCAGTTTGGTTCAGTGGCCCCCATTCCAAGAGTCCAGCACTGCTGCTTTGGGCCATGCTGGCTTCCATCCCGGCCGCGGCCGGCCAGGGGCTCTTCAGCCCCCAGCCTCTAGTTCCTTCTCGCCCTTCGGGGTGCTGGGCACTGGCTCTGCATGAGGCCTGTAGGCCCTTCTCTCCAGCACGCGCACGGGGTGTCCCGGGGCAATCAGAGAGGGGTTCATAGAGTCAGCGGGGCCGTGTGCAATTCTGCAGCATGAGCTGGCTTCCATCCCGGCCGCGGCCGGCCAGGGGCTCTTCAGCCCCCAGCCTCTAGTTCCTTCTCGCCCTTCGGGGTGCTGGGCACTGGCTCTGCATGAGGCCTGTAGGCCCTTCTCTCCAGCACGCGCACGGGGTGTCCCGGGGCAATCAGAGAGGGGTTCATAGAGTCAGCGGGGCCGTGTGCAATTCTGCAGCATGACGCACTGCGCTGCGAGGCGCCACCGGCCCGGCCAGCTCCATAACCGAGGTAACGACAAGGAAACCGGCAGCACGAGACATGTCCAGGGTGGGTGGGTGGGTCGGTTGCTCTGTGGTGCGCAAGGCCCGTGGCCCCAGGGAACGTTCACACCCAGGCTCTTCCCGCCCTGCCAGGCGTGTTTGTCGGGTTCTTCCCCCCCCACCGCAACGCCCCTCCCTCGGTGTCTCTCGGCAGGTTGTGTACTTCACCGCGCTCTTCCCCTACGTCGTCCTCGTCATCCTGCTGGTGCGAGGGGCCACGCTGGAGGGCGCCCGGAACGGCATCGAGTACTACATCGGGACGCAGTCCAACTTCACCAAGCTGATGGAGGCCGAGGTGAGGCACGGGGGGCGGGGAAGGGGGTGTGAAAGCAGAAGACACGAGCGTCCCGGGCGCAGCGGGTAGTGACGCAGCCTCAGCCTTCGTAACGGCCGGCACGGGGCTCAGGTTCTGGGATACAGTCCCCTCCCCCAAGCCAGACTCGTATCCCC